GAGTGGGCTATGTTATCTGATATCGTGCAGTAGGAATGTATTGTACCTTTTAAATAAACTACTACTGTATGCAGGCTCAATTGCGCTCTAGATCCACCGAAATGAAATGCTTGTATCTCTTCGGCATACTTTGTGTAATAATTTTCGCTGAAGTCGATATGAATAAGGACATCGTCGTCTTGTAGATTTTGTTTTAAATGATTTATAGCACTGTATTGATGTATGATATTTCTTTGATGTACAAAGAATTTTTCTAAATCTGTGTGTAATTGTGATATTATTTGACGGGGATGTCCATTGTACACCATTTTCAGGTGTTTTGTCACTATCTTTGGCTTTTTCGTCTTTAAATCTATGATTTCTTGTCTTTCTTGGACCCACATCTTATATTTTATGATTCTCTTATCGTTGAATTCTTTATATTTAGGAAGTCTATTTTTGCATTTTTGATAAGCAGTTTTCATTATACCGGTCACAACATAGCTGTTCCAGTAACTTCTGGTAGTTGTTGTAGACAATTATCTTTGCATCATATAGAGCCCGCAACTTCATGTCCAAATTACTGTGAGTTACGCACAAGCATGTGTCACGATTTTGTGTACTTGGTCTTACTACCCAAAATGGACGCAACCGACAGAATGTTTGATAACTAATCTTGAAGTTATTTGCCAAAAATGTTTTGTATAAATTAAGAATCGTATCAAGAAGATATCTCTTTTGCTTTCTCACATTCTGTTTTGTAACGTATTCTTTTTTCCCAGCTCCTATGCGACTGTTACTGTCATCTTCAAAAAAGGACCGAACAGCTTGCTTATAATACCTTATTGGTATTCTTATCCGCCGTATCACAGGTACGGTCAAAGTATTGTAACGTTTTGTACTCTGAACACCTCTATACAAAACACCACAGTCTCTGGGTATACACCGCCTGAACTTTTGTAATCGAACTCCAGACAAGACTTTCGTAAATATTTGTTTATCTTTAATACATTTTAAATTTGAATAATTTTCTTTGAGTTGTTCATTTAAAACGTCGCTAAACAACGCTTTCTTAACCACTTCTTTTCTACCTCCAGGTTCATTCAACATCTTCTGCATTTTAGTGTTGGGTGTGTCTGCTTTATTTTTCTTACTTCTATTTTGTAATCTTGTTATTCTTTTCCTATATTTATCTACTTTTTTCTTTAGAGCTTCTATCTTCTCATCCTTTTCCTTATTCACTTTTTCTCTCCGCTTTTTGACTTGCCTTCTTCGATGTGAATTGATAGCCGTTACCGTAGGGATCTGGTTACTAGGAAAGTCAATGGAAACTGAAGTGTTGCATCCTGCAGATGAACAAGGGCTCCCTTGATCAGATGAAAGCATGTTTGCACGTGGTGTATTGAGAGCCACTGTCGCATCCTTTTGTTTGGCCCGGTAAGCAGCACAATGCTCCCTCCACTTTTTTAAGGCAGCCCTATGTTCACGTGAAGTCATGTCTTTGGCTAATTTTCTCAAGCCTTTTTCCTTTTTTCTTTCATATTTCAACTTCTCCTTTATTCGCATTTCTTCCCTCATTTGCGGGTCATTCTTTTTTCGTTGGTACCTCAAACGTTCAGCTTCCCTCTTTTTCTGTAATATTTCTTCTCTGGATAACTTTTTCCTTTTCGAAGCCATCTGTAAAAAATTCTTATGTTTAGTGCGATACATATAATAGCGTTGACTGCAAAATATCAACAGAGAATTGATATCAGCAGTCCCCTGGAATGGGCTACAGTCCCCTGGCATCTTGGAGGCCAGGGGACTGTGTATTTCGATTAAATCATTCAACATCAACGAAACAGCTGCTAGGGATTCAATTTCACGACAACTGATCACTCAACACAGGAATTATAGGAGCAATACATAATACATATATGGTTAATTATGAATATTATAAACTTTAATACTTACCAGAGGACTGTGTGCTGTAACGGCCCTGACACGTGCTCTCACAAGAAACGACGCGCTAATACTAACCAAAATGGCGCTGCGCAGTCGCTTGCTGCAGTGGAGCGACCTTGACCATAGGTGCGTTCCGTTTAATGCCGAATATCATTTGAGACCGGCGCAAACATCTTTTATTTGAGGTTAGAGATTTGTACAGGGTACTGTTTGAAAAAAATGTGGACAAAATTACACACATTTTAGAAACTTGATAAATTTAAATTATAGTATCATTTGACAGAATTGTCATAATTTGGTTTATTCATTTTCAAAGGACAATTGGCCACATAGCCTGACATTCATAAATCCATTGAAAATAATATCACAAAGTGGATATCATAGGAATGGGACAGCCCAGGGGACTGTGTTTCATGATATTTGGGAGCATATAAAAAATAAACTGTAACTATTACCAATATTATATCAATCGCACAAGGAAGGCATATTGTTAAACTTATTGTATAAGCATCCCTTATGTTTTATATAACAATACTCAATTGAATATCAGACATGGACCGGGATTTACGACTTTACAGAGAATCACCCATATATTTGTCAACTGAGTCAAAGGCCTTTGGAAAAGTCGACTAGTAACGAGACGACGAATCTGCCACTATCAAGTTGATTGTCGATAAAATTGAGATAATGACAAGATGCCGTCTCAACTGATTTTTTCGCCTGTGTTGTGACATTGTAAGGATATCACTTTTAGTTATGAAAGTAAGTAATCTCTTGGAGATTATTTTTTCTATCAATTTCAAGATGTTGCTGAGTAGAGAAATTTGCCTGTAGTTATCACCCTTTTTGTGCACCAGTTTATAAGGTAGACTAAATGTTCAGCTATAGCGTCCTTGATGAAAACTAATGTTTGTCCGGGCAGACTGTCGTAGCCAACACAATGTTTGTTTTTTTTTTACAGAATCAGAACTTCAGTCATTTCGTGTATGTCGGCTGGAGCAAAAAATAAAGAATTTTGAATGTATGGTGATGCAATTGGAGGCACCGATACATTATTTGAAATGTAATTATTGATTTTCAAAGGTACACCAGTATTTACAATATCCCAAATTGTTCTATTCTGACTGCTGGAGGAATTGATCTAATAGTTGTAATAGTCGTTCTTAGACTTTGATATATTGAGCCTATAATTTCGTTTCTCGCGACTATACAATTTTTGCAATACAGGGTTCTCCAAATTTTTAGTGAACACGAACAATTTTTTTAGATGTAGACTTTCCCTTATCAGATCATCACTTAGCCATGCCTTGCTTGGGTCAGAGGCAGTTTTTTTGTAGTTTTTATAAGACAGCTACTAACAAGGCACCACGCAAGACGATTTGTTAAGTAGTGGACGCTGTTATTAATATACAAGTTATATAATTGGCTACAATCAGTTTGGCTAACTAGTCGACCATGGCCATTTAAATTATCGATCCCGATGTTGCGTGAACTGCAGGTGATTATTTTTGATCGGTGATTGTTATATGTGCAAATACAGAACAAATGGGCAAAATGATCATCAAGATTAGGATTAATAATTTCACAATGGCACGTACCTTGTTCAAGGTTTGTTGTCATGTAGTCAATTGAGCTGGACGTTCTCACCCCACTTGTATTCACAAAAACCCTGGTGGGTTCTGTGGCTGTTACATACAAGAGGAAAGTCTCGATGATATCTTTTAGCAATTTTGTATCAAATCCTCAAGCAAACCTGATGTTTTTATGATATTCCAAAGTCGTTTTTGTTGCCAGGAAATAGACAGAAATTGATATTTTTCGTTTTCCGTATTAGAATTTATTATAATGAATGAAATGATTTAAACCACATTTCAAGCCTTGCGGTAGCACGAGACGATATTCAGGACGTCGAGGCAGTAGGGGACACCGCGGCGGGGCAGGGTACCGGGGCAGAACGGTTTGCATACCATATTTCTCACTGTAAAGGCTAGATGTTACTAGCGTTCTCTGTTATCGTTTAGTAGAACGCCACGCATCGGTCGGCAACAATGAACAGATTACAGCAAACAGTTCAAAGTGTTTTCGGCCAAACGTAATGAATTTGTGCATGTGGATATAACTTTTCAGGATTTTTAATACAATGTAAGTTATTTAATTATTTGTATTGGCGTTTTTTGTTCATTTAACTGTACACGGCATGTGTACAAGTATCTTTTGGCATATTCACGACAAAATATTAATAAAGCGTTTCTATGCAAAGGTTATGTTTTGTTATGAGTAGCTTGTGGGGCAGAACGATGTGGGGCAGAACGGGTTGGGACCCCATTCTGCCCCTTATTATCAACGATCTCATTTTGATGCCTTGTGTTGCTTTCAGATGGTTCGCAATTATATTAGAAAGACCGATCAGCAACGGTGGAGTTCTGAAACTATGGAACGAGCTGTAACTGCAGTAGTAAGTGGCGTAATTGGTTGCAAGAAAGCTTCAATTCAATTCCAGCTTCCACAAACTACATTGGAAAGATACGTGAAAAAGCGTAGGACTGACCCAAATTCTGTGATTGATAAAACCGCTGGCAAATATCACTGTGTTTTTACTAAAGACCAAGAGGTAGAACTAGTTGTATATTTAAAGGATATGCAAAAGAGATTGTTTGGTTTAACATTAAAAGAACTCAGCTCAGAAAGCTAGCCTATCAATTAGCGGTTAGGAATGGTTGTGAGCATCCATTTAACAAAGATACAGAAATGGCGGGAGAAGACTGGGCCCACTCATTTATGTGGCGTCATTCAGAGTAAGTTTGAGGAAGCCTGAGGCCACTTCTGGAGCACGTGCCATGGGATTTAACCGAGTAGCAGTCGCGCAGTACTTTACATTATTAAATAAAGTTATTATTTAGAAAAAAATTACCTGTGAAAGAATTTATAATTGCGATGAGACTGGCATTACAGTGATTCCAAAGCAGCATTCAAGGGTTATTGCAAATAGAGGACAACGTCAGGTAGGCGTATTGACTTCTGCTGAGCGTGGCAATACAGTAACGGCAGAAATTTGTTGCTCTGCTGCGGGAAATTTCATGCCCCCCCTGTTGATTTTCCCGCGACAAAAGAAGAGACAAGAATTTGAATTGGGCTTGCCACCTGGAGCTTGGATTGCGGCAAATGACTCTGGATGGATGACTATGGAAGTGTTTTTCGAATGGTTCAAGAAGTTTATTAAATTTTCTGGTGCAAAAAAAGAAACTCCCGTGCTCTTACTATTTGATGGACATGCATCTCATACGAAAAACATCGATGTAATAGATCTGGCTCGAGATAATGGCGTTATTTTATTGTTTCCCACCGCACTGTTCGCACAGGCTCCAGCCTTTAGATGTGGCATTTATGAGACCTTTAAGTCTATACTACGAAGATGGTTGCGATCAAACCCAGGTAAGGTTGTTACTTTTTTTCAAATTTCAACCTTGTTTGGACAAGCTTTTATTAACGCCGCTAATATGAAAACCGCGCTAAAAGGTTTTGAAAAAACTGGTATTTGGCCAACAAACGAGTGAATTTTCACTGACGATGACTTTTTACCAGCCGAGACAACTAATATTCCCATTGCTGAGACAGAAATTGCCCCTACTCAAGTAACTCAAGTCGATGATTTTCCAGAAAATAATTCCTTCAATGATCCCTCAACCCCACCTCCCAGAGAACTAAAGGAAACTAGCAACGAAACTCAAAATGGCTCTTTACCCTGGATGTCTGATACTCCTATTGCACCAATAAAAAAAGTGATCACCTCTAGTTATCCAGCCGTTTCACCGGAAGCTTTTATGCCAGTACCAAAACTAATGACAACCGTTAAGCGAGTGCAGAGAAAGAGGCAAAACCACTATTATTACAGAGTCACCGTATAAAGCAGAGTTGACTGAGGCATTAGAAAAATCAAAGAAAAACAAAGTGAAAATAAATCTTTCAGGTCAGAAGCAGAAGAGGGAAACAGAAAAGATGTCTCGACCAAAAAAGCAAAAGATAACAGAAGCTAGAGTAAGCTCCGAGGAGGAAGAAGGAGAAGACACATTATGTTTATTCTGTAACGACCAATATTCAACATCAACTGAAGGTTGGATTTCTTGCATTCAGTGTAAAAAGTGGGCTCATTACTCTTGTGCGGGAATTTAAATTTCTGTAACATCATTTACCCACCCAAACTTGAAATTGAATGTTACGGTCCCCATTCCGCCCCGGTCTCCCCTACTAATATGTTCAGGGATTTGCAGGGGAAAAACAACTCGCCAAAGTGGCGTATCTAGGCGCCGTCTCGTTTGGTCTATAGCTCTTACTTTGGGCACTTTGAGATTCGACTTGTGTCAAGTAGGTAGACTCTGCGCGCCGGTGTTGGTTAATTGCGGTACTCTGGGACCTCCATTTTACAAAAGCGCTTTTATTGAAGATCATTTGTGTTTTACCCAACGTCCTTAGCCTCCCTTGATCCTAGCTGCTTCCTCTAGTGAGCAACCAGGAGCCACACCAGCTGCCGATGCCCCTGATTTGCTTGTTTTGAGTTTCAGCTGGTATCAAGAAGGCAGGACAGGACTTTTATCTCTGTATTGTTTGGTGTGCCTCTTGAAGAAATTAAGTTTGGACCAATCCGTTGAGTTTTATTTGATTTATACATCCGTCTGGTCTGGTGATTCGACATACCCGACCGCATCTACCAGGCAGTATTCTCAATTTCTTTGAGTACGACCTCCTCCTTCGCAAGTTAGACACCGAGTTTTCGGAAGTAACTAGAGAAACGTTTTAATTGCGAAAGCCGGTAAGATCAGGATATTCCCGATTGAGCTAGGTATCCCCGACTCCCACATAAGTTAGTCACCGAGTTTTCGGGAGTGACTAGTTGGCCCTAGCCCCATCTGCCCTTGCGGTTAAAGACTGGCGGTTTGAGCTAACGACCTCCTCCTTCGCAAGTTAGACACCGAGTTTTCGGAAGTAACTAGAGAAACGTTTTAATTGCGAAAGCCGGTAAGATCAGGATATTCCCGATTGAGCTAGGTATCCCCGACTCCCACATAAGTTAGTCACCGAGTTTTCGGGAGTGACTAGTTGGCCCTAGCCCCATCTGCCCTTGCGGTTAAAGACTGGCGGTTTGAGCTAACGACGGAGGAGCCCTCGGTACACCTGGGGACTGTCTGGAATATGTACTGACTTAACCCTAATGTCAATCACACAATAGAGATTTTTTCGCGAGATCCCGTAGTGAACCGGAGCGGGAACAGATGGACTTTGCCCTTCCTCTCGAAGTTTTGACAGTTTCAAGTTACACCGGAAGTGGTTAGATGGCTCAAGTTGCGCAAAATGTTTACTTTAAGCTCCTTGATAAACATAGCTGCCTTGTTTGCATCTGAAATAAAAAGACCGATCGTTTTTTGTGCAATGTACATATATATCAATAAAATCAATCATTTGATAAGACTAGTGCGGCTCATATATCTTCGATGATCTTCTCCCTCATCATTTAAAATCAGGTGGATTATGATTTAATGATTTAACTCAATTTTCGGCACTGCGAAGACAAATTTTCAATTGAGATGCCAGTTTTATAAATGAAATTGACCTGTCACTCGCTAGTACCTCACAGACGTTAGGCGGGTACCCGTACCACGTGATTTTTTGACATTCGGACGACGTCACATCCGTCTTCCCCTATTCCCGTTCTTCGCGAAAATTTGAGTATCGGTTCCCGGTAGTGCACTATGCTACACCGTGGACTCGCGAAAAAATCCTTAATGAAGTTCTATTTTAGAAAACGGAAAGCCGAAACGCAAAATATGTACCTAACTTAAAAGGTGTTTTTCTTTTTGGTTGGCCTTGCGAATCATATATAATATATTTTTGCGTCCCTAAAGGTACCAGAACTATACGTAAACACGCATGTATCTAATTGTGATCATTATATCCCAGAAAAGTCCCAGATATACAAACGTGTTTATAGGTTGAGTCATTGTGACACAAAATGTTGCGTCACCGATATTATTTTTTTTAAAGGTTTGGTAAACACATTAATGAGGAAGCTTTTAGTTTAGTTTAAAGGTCCATTAACGATAGTACGCGGCTTGATTCTAGGAATTTTATAATTGCTTTGGGGTTCAGAAAGCAAGTCAGAGAGGCACATCTTTGTCTACAGTGTACGTATCTCTCTGGAGTGCAGATTGAATTCCAAGCGAAAACGAGACAAACAGAGCTTGAAGTAGATGCGGGTAAAATAAACGCCTGACCTTATTCGCATATTTTCGCATGGTCCGTCTAGCTGAGTAGACGTGTTTGTTGCTGCTGTTTCTTATTATCTACTAGAATGTATTATTTGAGATCGAATAAACCCGATATTAAAGATGATGGTGCATGTGAAGTGAAGACATGAGTGAACTATTAAACAGTAACGTGATTAAAAGTGCATTCAGCGAAGCTAAATGTACTGCGATGAGTGAGGTGGTCGCAAAAATGAAGGATTTCTATGAAGAGGTGGTGATGCTGCGCGAGTCAAATGTGGAGTTAAACAACCTACTGACAAATAAAGGTGCTATGCATAATATGGCACAACCGAACAATCAAGTTGATCACAAGAAAACATCTGTTAACTGTAACGCTGAAGGAACTAAACATCCAGTAAGGAACAAAAACAAAAACGAATCATCACAAAAACTAGCAACTATAAAAAAGACAAACCAGAGCAAAAGCAACTAGAAACAAACAGCAAAAACGTTTCTCGTTCAAGAACACTATATAAAACGAAAGAGTTCATAAACACTGGAACCAAAAAGATTGTAAATGAACAGATAGCTGATAAAAGTAATATTATTTTTGGAACAGGATCATCTGATGCATTTACCATATCTGCAATCAAACGAAAATCTTGGATATATGTTGGAAGAATATCGCAGGGGACTGGCGTTGCTGGCATAAAGCAATATATGCAAATGTTTTTTGCCAACACTAACTTTGAAATTGAAATGCTTCCTAAATGGAAGAATATTCGAACTGAATCGTTTAAATAAAAGTCGACTCTGCTGTTAGAGAAATTGTTTCTGACATTGGCAAATGGCCGGAAGGAACGCTAATAAAACCATACAAGTTCTTTCGTACAAATGACAAGTGAAGAGCATGAAACTGCTGACAACCGCAAGAGCCAGGAATGCAACGTTTTTGCGGACAAGTTGAGAATCTTCAACAGAAACATTCAAAGTTTATTTAATAAAATGAACCGATTAGAATATTTTTTGGATGACAATAGTATTGATGTGTTACTTGTATCAGAGCATTGGCTTGATAATGATTTGATTCAAAACCTTGGTCTTGGAAGCTTCAGTCTAGTAAGTTGTTTTGCACGCACTAATCGTAAACCTGGAGGCACGGCAATATTTTCCAGAGGAAATGAGTTACATCTGTGTGCTCCAATCCAGTACAGCCTTTCTCTAGAAATGGTTATTGAAGTCAGTGCAGTATCTTTTATGAAAATATATTGCATAATCTGTATCTACAGGCCCCCACAACCCAATAAGAGCTCTATTGACATATTCTTAGAAAGACTATTCTCTATTGTCTCGTTTGCGACAAGTAACTTCAAATATGTAATTTTGGCAGGCGACTTGAACATAGATTATTCTGGAAATGATATTTTAAAAGATTACTATGCGATCTGCTTGGATCATTTGAGCTTGAGTCTCATATAACTAAGTACACTCAAATTGCCTCTACCAGATATGGAATCAGCAAATCGTCAATCGACTACATAATTACTAACTGTCCAGAAGTAGTAAATGTAAAAAAGCGTTGGCCCTGGTTTGTCAGACCATACCGGACAATTCATTTTTTTTTTATTTAATTTGAACTCCAATTCATTGAGAGAATTTCGCTATTTATTACTGAAGCATGGGATTGGTGACATTCAGAAGTGTAATATAAATGATTATTTCGATGATTTTCTAGAAACGTGTGATCTTTCGACATAGCCTTAAACGTAAAATTGTTTATAATGAGCGATACAACACTACTCATAAGAAAATTAAATTCTCTAAGTCACTTCAAGAAAAAATAGATCACTTGAATAACCTAGCATGGCTACGTAAAGAGATTCAAGATACTAATTTGAAAACAAAATTTAAATCTTTTAAAAAAGAGGTTGATAAGAATATTCGTGATGAAATGATTAGTTACTATCACTCGATAATAAGCAAATCTTCAAACAAACAGAAAACTACTTGGAATATTGTCAATTCAATAAAAGGTAAACAAAAAAATGCAGTTATCACAGAATTAGTCTGCGGTAACGTAACTATAACCCACCCTACTGATATCGCCGACTTTTTTGGAAAATATGTATCCACTGTAATTGGCAAGAAAATGGCCAACAATTTTACCGTTTTGTCGGATTCCTGCACTACTAGTGAAACAGTCAAACAATCAATGTTTTTCACCCATGTCACTACTGATGACGTTATATTTCTGATAAGTAATATGTCAGACAAGAAATCTACAGGGCCGGATGAAATTCCAATCTATTTAGTAAAACAGAACATCGATATCTTTGCCCCAGTATTAGCAGACATCATTAATGAATCGGTTGCTGCTGGTAAATTTCCAACAGCTCTTAAACTGGCATCGATAATTATCATATTTAAGTAGGTGAAAATTGTGATGTTGAAAACTATAGGGCAATCGCGCTATTAAGAATTTTCTCGAAAATCATTGAAAAAGTGGTTGCAATGAAAATTGAAAATTACTTTCTTAATTTTGCTATTATCACATATGCTCAACATGGTTTCAGGGCAGGCTACTCAACTGAAACAAGCATTATCGAGTATGTTCAGTATGTTTGTGATAAACTTGATTTAGGTAATTACGTAGTGAGTATCCAATTTGACTTGTCTCAGGCCTTTGATTGTGTAAGTTCGTCATTTGTGACCGATAAACTTCATCATGTCGGCATTCGCGGATGTTTGAATCAATGGCTAGTTAGCTTTTTATAGAATAGAAAATTTTATGTTACTGTCGCTGATAAAAAATCTGATGAATTTAATTTAGATTGGGACACACCTCAAGGCAGCGTCCTTGGACCAGTTATTTTATCGATTTTCATAAATGATTTGCCTGCACACTTATCCTACGGAAAATTACTTTTGTAGACGACACAAATATCATTTTAGCTGACTCATCGTCTTCAAGAAAAAATTAATGAATCGGTTAACGAGTTCAGTCAATGGTGCTTAAAAACAGACTAATAATAAATACAAAAAGTCCGTTTCAGTTGAATATTTTATGAAAACAAAAATTCCGTCAAATTTTAATTTCAGTCTTCAATGCAAGACAGTTGTAACTTCCAAAAAAAACTGTTTTTTAGGTGTAAGCTTTGATTGCAATTTAAGATGGACAGAGCAAATTGATTCCGTATGCAAGAAGCTTGGAAAAAGTCTGTATCTAATCCTTACGCTAGGGAGGATGTTAAACACCTCAGCATTCTAATTGTTTATCCCAAAACCCCTGTCTTCCGACCATCACTACTAGTTTGAAGTAGATATTTAACCCATAAATAATTGAAATAATAGTGGCCACAACAGGAGCATCAAAGGTGCCTTCTTCGCCAGTTGTGGTCTTTTGGTGGCTAGAAATGGGTCATAAAAACCAGTTGTGACCAGAAAGGAGAAAGAGATGGCAAAATTTAATACTAACAAGGTAGAAAAGGTGTACTTACTACCTAAAATTTTATTGTTTCAGAAAAGTTATGGCTTCCCGCAAATTATTTCAATATTCGTAATGTGCCATGCAAAGTGCACTAATAGTCTGATCATATTAGCAAATTTCCCAGAAATAATTGTAAAGTCAGGTTTTATTGATGCAAGTTCTTCAAGGGGGTATTTAAAACAAGGACGCATAAAATGGGTACACCAATTTTTGTGGGAAAACTTGTTATTCGACAACAAAGAATGAGAAAACGCGTTTTGACAGCATAAAAGCATTTTAATGTCCCTAGAACATCTATTCGAAGTAGATTGGAAGGTAAAACAAAGAATGATTGCCGAAAAGTGGGCCCAACATGTTCTCTTGGCCCGGAAGTAGAACAAAAATTGATTTCCTGGATCCTAGACTGTTCTGCAAAAGGTTTTCCTGTAAGTAAAGAAGGTCCTCTACTCTATTACAAAAATACAAGAAGAATGTGATATTCAGCCGAACTTCTTTAACGGGGCACCAGGAAGAAAATGGTTCGATTCCTTTATGGAGAGCCATCCAGAAGCAAGAAAAATGCAGAATTTGTAAACAAGGCAAGGACTGCGGTTTTTGAAGAATCCAGACGTTGGTTTATTCACGTTAGAGAGCTCCGGGGGCTCCAGAGGGGTCTATTTAGTTCCGTAAATGGAAGCCTTATTATAATATTTTTTATAATTGTACATTTGTTTTAACGAGACTTAGTTTTATTTTTTATGTTTATCAGCGAATCGATACGTTTTTTTACATACTAAAAACTACTCGTTAATTCTTGTTCCTACTTAGTAATAGGTAGTCATCATCTGAAGTAATGCTTTTTGCTGGTGATACACAAATCTGTAAAACATTTGATACCGATAACTGTGTAGCAGCTATTGACGAGTTGAATTGCGACTTGGCCACCACTGTCAGTTTTTCCAAGCGTAACTCCTTAATACTTAATGCATCTAAATCTAAAACTGTTCTCTTTGCACCGAAAAATAAAATAATAAATATCAAAAGTAAGACGACAATACGTATTAATGACACTCCTCCGATGTATGAGGACCTTGCAAAAGATTTGGGTGCCTTACTTGACAAGGATTTACGTTTTCGTGAGCATATCTATATTAGTAAAAAGCTGCTTTGTTGTGCTGAAAACGCTGTTTGCTAATACGCATTTCATCAACTTCAAATTGAAAAAACATCTTTGAGAAAGCTTAGTTCTTTCAAAAATTAACTACTGCCTTATAGTTTTCTACCCTTACTTAGATCAAGTTTCAGTTCGTAGACTCCAACTAATTCAAAATTGATGTTGTTGCCTTATCTACGGTTTAAGAAAATATGACCATGTATCACAATGTATTCGTATGTAGTTTAAAATGGTTAGATATTAGTGGTTCTCATAAATATTTCATGTTGAAATTCATCCATGGTTTAATTACCACGGGTACTCCCGAATACCTCTAAAAAAAAATATTTTCAGACAGTCTGTTAGAGGGCGCATGCTCAGGTATGACAAATTGTTGGAAATGAAACACCATCGTTCGGCTTTATTTACTCGTTGTTTCAGTTATAATTGTGTTAAATTGTACAATGTTTTACCTGATGCATTTAGAAATGTATCTCAGACTTCATTTAAGTGTTGTGTCAAGCAGCATCTATTATCAGAAAAGAGTCGTAGTAGTAATAAGTAGTAAGTAGTTTGTAATTTAGGTTAGTAACCGCCAGCAAACCCGATTTGATGTAATTTTGAGTTTTTTTTGACATCTTTAAGAATTTACTAAATACTTTCTCTTATGGGTATCCACCGTATATAGGTACTATATATATATATATATATATATATATATACAGGGTTATCCAAATTAAGTGTCCACCATTGGTAACTTTGTTATTAGTAAAAATACAAAGTTGTTTAAATTAGCAAACTAGTAGCATTTTTAACGCTGGTAAAAATGAGAAATAAAAAAAAACAATTGAGAGTCGTTATTTTGATTTTTTTCAGTAAAATAACATTTTTTTAAATGGAAACCCCTGTATATTATATTTTTTTCTGTTAAAGCATCAAATTTTAAACAAAAAAGTTCATAATGACTTTTCCGCTAAAGTCAAAAATAAAGTCAAAATAACGATAAATATTTTTAATTATTTGCAGTATTATAATATTAAGACGGCTATGAAAACAACATGGCGTTCGCGATTTGACAGCATTAAGATAAGCGACAAATTGTTAAACTGGACATACTCGCAACTAGAAGGCTTTGGAAAACAATGATAAAATCAAATAATGTCAAACATTAGTGTAAATACTTGTTTATAAGCTTTATTGTGTCATTAATTTAAAGAAAAATGTTCTCCCATGAAGAAAAGTGTGATATGTTGGAATGCTATTTAGTGTGCAGAAAATCCTCCTTGAGAGCAAGAGAATACTACAGTGAATTATATCTCGCTCGCATTCAACCGTATGAACGATATTTTCTGAGACTTTATCGAAAATTTAGGGGCAACGAAAATGTTTTTGCTAAAACAAGGGCAAAAAAAGAATTCATAATAAGCGAGGCCACGGAAATTGCAGTTATTGGATATTTTGAAGCTTATCGTGAGAATTCAATAGCAGATATTCTCAAGGACTCTAATTTCAGTTATGGTACTGTTCAAAGGATTTTAAAAAAATACAAATTTATTCCGTATAAGTACCGACCAGTTCAAACGCTTTTGGCAGGGGATCCAGAGAGAAGACTTGTTTTTTGCCATTGGTATCTTAGCTTCTGTCGCCAAAATGTAAATAACTTTCGTTACCTTTTATGGACAGATGAATCAAATTTTTCAAATTCTGGAATGTTTAATAGAAAAACCCACCATTATTGGTCAAGAGAAAATCTTTTGTTAGTACATCCAAGAGGCCCACAAGTCCGTTTCAGTTTCAACGTTTGGTGCGGTATAATTGGTTCAAAAATTGTTGGCCCGTTCTTTTATGAGGGAACCCTAA